TAAGAGATCTTTTATATGTTTCTCTAATGAAAGATTTTAATAAATGGAAAAATTTGCCTAACCAATGAAATTATCAGAAATGTTAAATATAATTTCAATTTGTTTTACATCATTGGATTTCAAAGATATCTATTAACTATTTCCCAAGCTGCAGTTGAGGTTTTTCATATTCTTCTGAAATGTGATGTGGGTCAGCTAGAGCTAAATAGCAATGGAGAGCTTAGTTTTTTTCAGTGACTCCTTGCAGACGCCTCATTTTGAAACACTTTTTCATGTACACAGCCATGTCTCACCTAATAACTTATTGAAGGACACTAGACGTTCATCCAGCCCAACCAAATTTGAAGGTCATCTGGCTATGACATGTCATAGTGTGTTTAAAATACTTGGCTTATGCTTTCTTCCCTTAAGTTTCTCGTAGGGATTGCTTTGCTGTCTCTGTGGAACGTTAGAGAGAAATCTCAGACAAGCCTGATTCTTTTTGCCTTGGAATTGATATTTTTGCAAGGTTTTGTCAAAGATTCTTTATTTTTCCAGTCCAGTAATTTTATTAGGCTATATCTCTGTGTTAGCTCTTCATCATTACTTTGCCCTATCACACAGTATACCCTTTCAATATTCGGATTCAGGCATTCTTTTATTCAAGGAAAGAATTTTTTGAATTTTTCCTCAAAATTGGTCCTGCTCCATTTTCTCCCACTCTCAGGAACTGTAATGTTGCATATGTGGGATCTGTTTTGCTTGACTTCTGCATTTACTTTCTAATTTTTTTTTAAAAACCTTTTTATTTTGAAATAGTTAATAGATTCACAGGAAGTTGCAAAGATAGTGTAGAGAGGTCCTGTGTACCCTTCACCCAGCTTCCCCCAGTGGTTGCATCTTCATAATTACAGCGCAGTATCATCACCAGGAACTTGACATGGGTACCGCACGTGGGTAGAGTTTGGTGTCATTTCATCACAGGTGTGGATTTAGGTATCTTTCCCTGCAGTCAGAGATACTGAACTGTCTGCCTCTTCCTTCATTTCTTTTTGATTTTGTTTATATTTCACATTTCTGATCTCTAGGTTCCTGACAGTGTTTTCTGC